TCTGTCCATAGGCCACATAAGTTTACAATCTCTACCTTATTTTTATTCTATTTACTTATTTATTTAGTGTTACTGGCGATTAAATCCAAGATTGCTGTACCACTGAGTACCTGTCCTTTTTATTTCGAGACAGGGTCTCACTAAGTTGCCCAGGCTGGCCTTGAACTTGTGACTCTCCTGCCTCAGACTCCCAAGTCACTGGTGCAATCTCTACCTTAAACCAGTAAGTACCATGAGCTGCCTCCCACGTGGTGGAAACTTCCCAGCAGCCAACGTTCATCTAGCACCCACTCTGCCAAAGTATACTGAGGGCTTTCCACGGTGGGTGGCCTCCTTACCCAGCACACGTGAGACAGAAACATTTTGACTACACTTTACAGCTGAGGAAGTTGAGGACCAGAGTGATCACACAGCCCAACACTCACATTTGAACCCAGACCTCTGAACCTCCACCTATAGGGCACAGCCATTGATAGCTAGGAGACACACGGGCCACAGTGACCAGTCCTGTCCCTCCTCCCCCACCCAGTCCACAGCAGAGCCCTCACCATTCTCCTGGGCAAAGCGGGAAGCCTCCAGGAAAGTGACCTCACGCTCAGGGTCCAGGTCCTTCTTGTTGCCACAGAGGATGACCACAATGTTGGGGCTGGCCAGTGTGCGGGCATCCGTCAGCCAGGCAGCCAGTGAATTGTATGTCTCCCGGCTATGGAGAAGGGACAGAGAAGGAAGGTGGCACAGGAGAGAGGCCACCCATGTCCCACCCCAACCACGCTGCTCATGCTGAGTAGCCCACACCCACCTTGTGATGTCATACACCAGCAGGGCTCCAGCCGCCCCTCGGTAATAACTCCGTGTCACCGACCTGTGGGGCCAGGGGGACCCAGTCATCCCCAAGGCTGGGGTGTGCCCCAAGACTGCACCCCTTTGCACAGAGAGACTGATGATTCGGAGGACCCTCTCACTGCTGGCCCAGCCCCCAAACCTAGCTTTGGTGGAGATAATTTCTCTACCTGGAAGTCTGTCTGCCTGTCTCTTTCAACTTCTCTCTCTCACTCAGCTCTTTGTCTACCTACTTCTGTGGATCTCTCCCTGTCTTTGTGTCCCTGTCTTTCTGAACCTGTGCATTGGTCTGTTTCTTTTTCTGCATATGGTTTACGTGTGTAGTGTCTAGCTTTTCTCCTTGCAGTGCTGGGGATCTGGCTCAGGGCCTCACTAGGCAAGCACTCTGCCGCTGAGCTTCACTCCAGCTATGTGCCTTTAACTCTGTTTCCTCCTGTCTCTCGCTGACTCTGGCTCTCATACTTATTTTTGCCTTCGCCTTCATTCATTCAGCATTTTCTGAGCATCTCCCCTCTACCCAGCCCTACCCAGTGCGATGCAATATCTACTTGTCCCTCTTCTGTGTCTGATGGAGGCCTCCTTCCCAGCATGGCCAACTCTTTTCTTTTCTTTTTTTTTTTTTATTAGTTATTGATGGACCTTTATTTATTTATTTAATTGCTTATATGTGGTGCTGAGAATCAAACCCAGTGCCTCACACATGCTAGGCAAGTGCTCTACCACTGAGCCACATCCCCAGCCATGGCCAACTTTATTGCCCTGTCTCATCAATCTGGATCCCCCTGCAACTCAGGCAATCATTCCACAACATTTATTGAGCACTTACTGTAAGTCCAACCCATATCACACACCTGTTTCTCCTTCCCCATCTCTGTCTCTGGGCTCTCCGCAGCTCATGCGGTCTGTCAACACTCAGCACCTATTAAGTGTTGCCGAGAGAGCATGTTCTCCATGGACTGAACTCCTTGTTTCTCTCTCTGCCCTGTCTGTTTCTCAGACTCTCAGAATTTCTATGTCTATCAACTTTTCTACAGACATTTTTCTGAAGACCTACTCATCTATCTCCCTCTCCCCTAGACGTCCATTTCTCCATCCTCCTGGCTACAACTGTCCACCCTCCCTGTCCTTCTCCCACTCTGACCTGTTTCTCTTTGCATCTCCTTACCTGCTTTATCATTCTTTTCATCTGCATCTTTCTCAGTCTCCCTTTCTCTTGCCTTTCTTTTCTGAATGTGTCTCTCTTTCATGCTTCTGCTTCTATTTCTGTTTTAGGGTCTCTCAAACTCTACTCCTCAACCTCAAGTCTTCCTTTCTTTTTTCCCTTCCTTTCTCTTCCCTTCCCATTCCTTCCCTTTCTTGTGGTGCTGTGGATGGAACCCAGGACCTTATGCAAGCTCTCTCCTCTGCCTCGCCTTCTCAGCGTCTTTTTACTCCTATTACTGTGTCTTGGAGTGCATACACCTCTCTCTCCCCCTCCTCCCCTCCCTCCCTCCTTGGAAGCCCGGCCCACCTACCGAAACCGCTCCTGGCCAGCAGTGTCCCAAATCTGTAGCTTCACAGTCTTCCCACCCACGTTGACCACCCGGGATCCAAACTCCACACCGATTGTGTGGTTGGAGTCCTGTTTGACTGGGAATGGGAAGGAGAGAGGAGGCATGCAGAGGCTCAGAGGATCCCCCATCCTCCAAGGCCTCTTGTCTCTACAAACCCATTCTCATTGCTGGGGTGACTGTGAATCTAGCAAACAGCACACCAAGGCAAGGCCCAGCAATGGAGTTGGATCTATGGCCGGTCATGCCCAACCCATCAGCTGCCCACCTACCCACAGCTCAGTGCTGCTGATACCACTGCCGGAAACTCACACTTATTCTCAATGAACTGATGAAGGAGGCATGATTTGCCAGTTCCTGCACTGCCGATCACCAGGAATTTGAAGAGGAAGTCTGAGCAGATGGAGTCAAAATCAAGGATACCCACAGGAAGAGAAAGATAAAGAGAAAAAGGGAGAAATTGAGAAGAGTTAGAAAGAAACAGACACAGAAACAGAAGCACAGACAACAACTGTAACAGATCACCTGTTTTTTTTCTTTTGGGGTGCTTTCTGTGAGGTGGGGATAGTACCCAGGGCCTTGCACATGCTAAGCAAGTACTCTACCACTGACCCACACCCCCAGTCCAAGAAGATTATCTTTTTTTGTTGTTATTGTTACTGGGGATTAAACCCAGGGATTTTACCACTGAGCCACATCTCCAACCCTTTATATATATACATATACATATATATATAAATATATATTATACATATATTTTAGTTATAGTTGGTCACAATACCTTTATTTATTTATTTATTTTTATGGAGTTCTGAGGATTGAACCCAGTGCCTTGCACATGTTAGGTAAGTGCTCTACCACTGAGCCACAACCCCAGCCTCCCTTTTTATTTTTTTGAGACAGGTTCTCACTAATTTAATCAGGTTCTTACTCAATTGCTGAGGTTGACCTCAAACTTGCAATCCTCCTGCCTCAGCCTCCCAAGTTGCTAGGACTGCATCCCATGCCTGGCCCAAGATTATTCTTTATAGAGTTTACCATAGGCACAGTTCTAAAGGTTTTTATATTACCAGCTCACTTAATCTTTGAGAAAACTCTAGGAGAGAGGTATACTAATAATTACCCCTGTTTTCCAGATGTGGTAACTGAGTCCAAAGAGGTTATCTGACTTGCCCAAGATCACACATCTAGGACAGAATTGAGACTGAAACCCTGGCCAAAGATCTCCAGAGTCTAAGATATTTGCTATTACATTGCTAATTCCTCTTGAAATTCGTCTAATCAAGGGAAATCTAGCCTCGGTCCCTCCTTTTTGGTTGGCACTCGGAATTAAACCCAATAGCACTTTACCTCTGAGTTATAGCCCCAGCCTTTTTTTTTTTTTTTTGAGACATGGTCTTGCTAAGTTGCTTAGGGCCTCACCAAGTTGCTGAGGCTGGCCTCCAATTTGTGATCTCCTGCCTCATCTTCATGGTTTCCTGGATCTACAGGTATAGGCCATCTGTGTCTCTCTTGATTTCACCTCCTCCTACCCTCTCAACTCATGTCTCTGGCCTTCAGTCTATACCCTCAAAATGACAAGCTGGTTCCCACTTCTGAATTTTTGCATTTGATAACTCTGCTTTTGTGGATGTTCTAACAATGCAGCTCTCTCTGAATCCTAATCCAAAGCTTTCTATAGCCCCTTTTCCCTCAACCACCTGGTATTGTACACTCATACTGATTTTTCAATTCCCAACCTCTTTTTCCCATTCTCTCCCAGATTCTTGGCCCCTAATCTCAAGCTTAAACCCTATCCTTTGCCATTACATTCCAACCCTAACTTAGGGATAACGCATCCCAATCCATTCCGGACCTCTCAAACCAGTTCAGCCTCACAGTTCAGAGCATCTTGCTCTTCAGTGTTCCCTCTAGCCAGTAGAGCACGACCCCTGCCAGTCACGGTTAGCTCCGCCCCACTCACTCAGGCTCCGCCCCAATACATGAAGGCCCACCTCTTCCCTCAAGGCCAACCCAGAACCCATTCGAGAGACCCGCTCTCTCGAATCCCGTCCCGTATCTATTTAACGCACGCACCAGACCCTCAGGCTCCACCCAAATCGATTAAGCTCAGCCCTAGACCCACGAAACCCCTCCCAGCATCCACTTAGGCCCTGCCCCCATAGAGGCAGACCCCGCCCCCAGGTACAAGGCCCCGCCCCATTCCCACAGGCCGCATCCTCTTTGGGCCCAGACCCCAGACCCCAGCTTCGGCCCACCACCCTCACCGTAGGTCTCGGCCATGACTTGGTCGCGGCCGCTGAGGGCCGCAATATGGCGCCGCGGCCGCGCCTGCTCCTCGGCTGGCAGCCGCTCCACTCCGGCTGCAGCCCGGGCTCCTTCCTACTCCCGGACCCGGCGCCGCCACTTCCGCCTCCACCCCCCGCCCGCTCCGGCGCGACCCGCTAGAGCTGCGGGATACCAGGCCACGCTTTCCAAAAGGAGGGATTGGCGGACTCGGCAGGCAGAGGGCGGGACAAAGGGTGCGGATTGGTGGCCTGAGAGGGGCTGAGTCGAAGGGGGCGGGAGCAAGGCGAGCAATTGGCAGAGCAAGTGGGAAGGGGCGGTTCCGAGATGCATCGCCCGGCGGAGGAACGGATTTGGTCAGGAGTCCGAGGGCAGAGTAGAGACTCCGGATTGGACAGGAGCAGACTTGGGGCGGAGATATGGATGCAAACAAGGGACAAGGGCAGGATTGGAGCAATCTTGAGCTGGTGGGTGAATTTCTGACCCCAAAGGCAGAAAGGAGGAAAACTGGGAGGACACACACAGGTTACTTCCCACCCGGCTTTACAGATGCACTCCAAGAAAACACCTGCTTTGCGATTTATGTTCTCTGGTCCGATTCGCGCATTCCCAATAGTTCCAACTCCCTCTCATTGGTCAGGAGAGGACACAGTCCCTCAATTGGGTGTTTGATTCCGTCTTCTCTCTTGCTTGTGTGCAAGATCTAATCTTAGGAGCCCGCCTAGGGTACCAGCTTAGAGCGAAAAGCTTTCATCAAACTCTGCCTAGCAACCATTGACGATGCCACATTCAGGGAGTTGATTGGCTAGATTCAGAAACCTGCAAAGCATTTCCTTTGTACAGCCCCACTCCACCCCCCAAAACCACAGAGACCGGCAGTTTGCACTAACTAATGTATTTGCATACGGCTAGGAGGGAAAAACAGCAGGAACCGCGGTAGGTTGAGCTCAGTGACAGTAGAAATCCCATTTCTGAAAAAGAGAAAGGGAAAACAGTGAAGAGAAAACCAGCATCAGATCTAGTGGTTTAAGCAAAAGCTGCAGCCTAGGGGCCAGGTTTGGCCACACAGGAGCTATGCAAATTAGCCTAGAGCCCTATATCTTTGCACCTTTCAAGTAGATCCCGGTGTAGAAATCACTCCCTGTTAAAGATGAGAAATTTGAGGCAAGAAAAGAATTTATCCCAGCACACACAGCAAGGCTACCAGAGAGCATAGGCGTTATATTTGCCCACCATCACAACCAAAGGGTCCTCCTCCTCCAGGAAACTTGCCACCCCTCAGGACACTCACATCTGTCTTCACATCAATTTTGCCAGGTTTCAGAGTCTGGTCCTCCCGAACAATGCTACTGGGGAAATAGCCTAGGCGAGCAGCCAGGTCTCCATAGTAATCACCCTGAACCTGGGAAACAGGAGTTAAAAGCTGGGTCTGAGAGAACCATCATTTCTGCTGGAAGCTTCTGCACTGCCTCCTATGGGATCCCCACATACCTGGCTCTAACCCTGTCATTTGGATCTGTTTAAATGTCACCTACTCATACCCCTCCCAGAGCATAAATGATTTAAAGTAGGCACCCATTCATTCAATATAAATGTTCATAGAAGCACATATTTGCTGACATTTTTGATGGCTTATTGCTCATCTCCCTTCATTAAAGGAATCGCTTGTAGTATTTTAGGTGTCTACAAAAGCAGGTGTACTTTCTAAACAAAGTAAAAATAAACTAAGTCACAGAACGTACCCTTCCCCAAGTATCTGGATATCAGTTTACCCCAAATTTGCTCTTTAGGTGGAGAAGTGGGGTCAACTCCCATCTAACCCCATAGTCCTCCCTCTTCCATTCTCCCAAGACTCACACTGCCTCCCCAGAAAAGCCGCCCTCGGCCCTTCAGCTTTGAGAAGACATAGACAATTTGACCCCTGTGTATGGTCAAGAAACGGCAGTCAGGAGCCACGTAGTCCTGAAGGGCCACAGCCATGGATATGGGGTCTGGAGAAGAAATAAAAGGGAATAACAGCACTCCATCCACAGACTGCAACCTAAGTCCCCAGCCCCCCCCCCCCTTCCCGCTCTTACGGCTGCATTCCTCATCAGCACACAGCTTCCGATCAGCCAGTTTGGGCATGGAACGGCCTGCGACAGTAGACCCTGGAAAGGCAGTCAGCAAGAGGATGACACCAAGGAGCACTGGGGACCACGCCATCATGGACTATGGAACAACAGTGACCAGGTGGGGGATGGGGTCTCCAATTTCTTCCTGCCCTCCCTCTCCCCAGAAACAAGGAAACCTGTGTTCTCAGTCCTGTCCCCGCCCAAAACCAGTCCCAAATTTTACCCACACTACCTAGAGGCTGCTATCCAGCCAAAACCATTTCAAGGACAGGGTGAGGGCTGTAGGCCCCAGGAAATGCCCAGATAGGCCCCAAGTAACCCAAGCCACTACAAGTGACAGCCACCCCCCAGCAGAGGCCCAGACATGCAGGTATGAGATATTTGAATCCCTGGAGTCAGCTCAGGTAACTGGACGCCTTCACTCTCCCTCCAGGTACAGAACCAGAGGAGCTAATGTGGAAAACCACCTTGGAATTTCCTGTGCTGAGGGGCAGAACAAAGCAACCTTTTGATTACCAGGCCCACCTCTCAGATGATCCAGTGAATACTTTATGTTGGGCCTCGGGCTAGGTAATGTCCCACCATGTTCACTATTCATCCCCAACTGCCACTTCCTGACTGGATGACCTGGGCTAAGCTATAGAAATACAGCCTCACCTTGCTCATACATAAAATGGGGATAGGAATAAAAGCAAAAGTTACAGAGCATTCATAAAGTAAATTTTTATTTGGTTAACTCAAACAGATATTCTGCATCACCTCAGAAAGGACTGTGATAACCACATGTGCATGGAAATGGAAGTGCAGAAAGTTAAGGAACTTGGCCCCTGCACGATGGCACACATCTGTAATTCCTATTAACTCACTGAAGTAAGAGGATTCAAGTTCAAGACCAGCCTAGACAACTTAGTGAGGACCTTGTCTCAAAAAAACAAAAAGGGCTGGGGATGTGGCTCAGTGCTTAAGCACCCTGGATTCAATCCCTAGTGCCAAAAAAAGAGACTTGTCTAAGCCAACACAGCCTTAGCCTTGACTAGAGGAGTCAAGATTTGCCTGCAGGCCCATAGGTATCTCTGTTCTCCGACCTCATTGGGCTCTTGTGAGGGTTAAACACTCTCATCCAAATTCAAAATGGATCTTGGGGAACCCAAGAATGTTGAGTGACCTGACAAAGATGCAGTCAACAAAATCCAGACCATCATATCTTTTTCGTTTTTGTTTTTATTTTCTTATTGCTTCTTTTTAGTTATGACAGAAGAATCAATTTTGATAAAATTATACAAGCATAGGATCAGACCATCATATCTTAACAAGGAATAAACTAACAAAGAAAGCAGGGGGGACAGAATGTAACTGAGGAGTGGCCTAGAACTTTTTTATTTTATTTTTATTGTACTGGGGATTGAACCCGGGGTTACTGAGTTACATCCCCAGTCCTCTTTTCATTTTGAGTTTCAAATTGGTGAGGCTAGCCTCGAATTTGCCTCAGACTCCCCAACTGGGATTACAGGTGTGGCCACACCCTGTTCTCTGTGTGGCCTACATTTAAAAAGATTTAAGAAGCTATCAACCAGTTACCATATGTAAACTTCTTCTGAATTCTGACTCTAAGTGTATACAGAGGTATCTATACAAATTTTGAAAATCTGAATACTAATCAGGTATTGAGTGTGGTTTAAAAGCTTATTTAGGCATGATCATGGCATTGTGTTTGGTTTGTATATTTTAGAAAATGCTTAAATACAAAGCTGATAGTGGGCTAATAGACTATTTGGGATTTGCTTCAAAATAATTTGAGGAGTAGAATCTATCTTGAAAAAAATAAGCAAAACTGAAGGAAATATGGGAGTTCAGTATACTCTTTATATGTCTTCTTTTACCAGGTATACGAGATAGTGTACTAAGTATATTTAAAGGGGTTCAGAGTATAGCTCAGTGGTACAGCGCATGCTCAGCATATACCAGTTTGTGGGACTCAATACCTAGCACCACTCCCCCCACCAAAAAAATGGTATTTAGAACACACTCCACCTGTAATTCTAGAGAATGAAACAGAAGAATCACAAGTTCAAGGATCGCCTGGGAACTTAGTGAGAACCTGTCTCAAAATAAAAAGGGTGGGGATGTAGCTCAGTGGTAGAGCATCCCTGGGCTCAATTCTCAGTACTGCTGAGGCGAGAGGGAGGAAGAGGAAAGGGGATGGGGGGAAGGAAAGAGAAGGAGAAGAGAATATGCTCAATACTGTGGCCCCAGTATTACTGATGAAGTCACAAAGTTATAGAAATGACTTTATTTTCCAAAGCCCAATTTACTTACCCATTGCTGGATAATAATTATCCCAAAATGTAGTAGCTTAAAACCACATTATAGCTATTTCTCTGGGTCAGAAGTCTAAACATGGCTTAGCTAGTTGCCTATGGGCCTACAAGGCTACAATCAATCTGTCAGCCAGGGGTGCAGGTCCATCGACAGCTGGACTTGGGGAAGATCTGATTCCAAGCTCTCAGACAATGGTTGGAAAGATTCAGTTCCTTGTGGAAACCGGACTGTGGGCCTCTGTCCTCATTAGCTGTTGGCTAGAGGTTTCCCTCAGCTTCTTGCCACATGTATCTCTTCAAAGACAGCTAGCAACAAGAAGCCATTCTTTATAATCTTATCATGGAAGTGACATCCCATTATTTTTGCTGTAGTGTCCACTCCCCACCATCAGCAGTTTTCAATTTCTGTGGTTTCAGTTACCAGCCTTCTGAAAATATTAAATGGAAAATTCCAGAAATAAACAATGACTTTAAAAGTCACCCTTATTTTGTTTAATAGTAGCCCCAAAGCTTAAGAGTAATGATTCTGCTTACTATAGTGATATATGCGTACCCACATTTATAGCAGCATAATTCATAATAGCCAAGTTATAGAACCAGCGTAGATGTGCCTCAACAGATGAATGAATAATGAATGTCTGATATATACACACAACGGCATTCTACTCAGTCATAAAGAACAAAATTACGTCTTTTGCAGGAAAATGGATGAAACTGGAGCTAATGAAATGAGTCAAAACTCAGAAAGTCAGGGGTCATGTTTTCTCTTCTATGTGGAAACTAGAGAGAAAAAAGAAAAAAGGGAACGAAGACAGGATCTCATGCAAATAAGAGGAAGACCATTAGAGTAGAGGATGGGGACTAGGGAAAAGGAAGGGAAAGAAAAGTAGAGGAAAATACACCAAATTATGCGATGTGCATGTACACATATATCACAATAAATCTATTAGGTAGTTATGATGTAGCAATTAAAAAAGCAGCAATGATGCTGAGAGGCCATAAAGTGCTTTAAGTTAAAAAGTGATGAGGAAAGGAAATGAAATCAGGATGAGGTTGCTAAGATCCATGGTTAAGAATGACTCTTGTGTGAAATTATGAAGGAAAAGGAAATTCATGTGAGTTTTGCTATCACACCTTAAACAGCAAGTTACAGCCTCAGTGCATGACAAATACTTACAGATGGAAAAAGCACTGCACGGTTTGGTGCAGCTCCTGGCTTCAGGAATGTACAGGAGGTCTTAGAATGCATTCTTCACAGAAAAATGCGGGGCTGCTATATTCACTTGAAGCAGGTCACTAGGTCCAGCTCATGCTCAAAAGGGGATTTCAGCTGGGTGCAGTAGCATATGCCTGTAATACCAGCTGCTCGGGAGGCTGAGACAGGAGGATCCAGTTCAAAGCCAGCCTCAGCAAAAGACAGGCACTAAGCAACTCAGTGAGACCCTGTCTCTAAAATACAAAATAGGGCTGGGGATGTGGCTCAGTGGCCGAGTGCCCCCGAGTTCAATCCCCAGTATCCGTGCCCCAAAAGGGTGGGGGGGCGGGGAGAGGATTTCACAAAAGTGAGAATATCAGAGGCTGGTCATTATCAGAAACAATCTTAGAGGCTAGCTACCACACCCAAGCTTTATCCATGACCCAGAGGCAGCCACGGCAAGCCCCACAGTCCATCCTATATCCTTCTCGCTCCAATTGTATCCACATAAACAGGGCCACCAAAGCACAGGTCTATGGAACACAATGCACACTGCATTCCCTGGAGGTCTTCCTTCTCCCTAGTCCCCAACACTCACTCCCACCACGGAACCATCACACTGCTTCCAGATATTCACATGGGAGGCTGTTCCTTGTCTTTTGGGGTTCAGACCCCAAATCGCCTCTCTGCAATGCTTCCCCCTCAGCTTTCTCTTCTGTCTTGCTGAGGAGAAATCAGGCTCTGGGGTTGTCACCAGCCAGAAACAAAATGAGGTAGTAGAGGATCTGACTCATGTCTCACGTGTAAACTTGTTTCCACTAGAGACCCACACGCAGAAGACCATTCTCCAGAGGATCCACACCACTCCCAGGGCCCTCAACTCTGTACTGAGTGATCCAAACTTTTTTTTGCTGGGCAGAGGCGGGACACAAAACAAGTTTGTGGTCAGGGAGGAGTCTGTCAAATGGCTTCAGCCATTTCTACAAACCCAGCACCCATCACCACAGGCCATGAGCCTAAGTCACTTCTACTCAGATACACCTTCTGAGGGCCTTTTCTTGACACCCACAACTGTTCCCAGTCCTGCTACCCCACCCCAGCACTTGTGCTTCCATTAGAATACTTGAAACTAGCTCATCTACTTATTTCATTACATTCTCTAACTCTAGAATCTAAAGTGTTTATTTAGTACCTAATAGGTACTACTAAGCAAAAATGCTGATTTGGGTGCTTGCTAAGTACCTGGTAGCATAAGTGTGTATGTGAATGTGTGGGTTTTGGGAGGAGAGTGAGTACTAACCTTATTGCAGTATTAACAGGATTCCTCTTCACATAGGAACAAAATGAAGCTCAGGGGAGGGACATCAATTGCACATGGGGTAACAGGGACTTCCCAGAGTGGAAACCAGGACTGGTTGGCCACAAAAGCCACACATCATAGCCACTAGGCTGTGGTGCCCAAAGTGGTAGGTGAGATGTCTCCACTGACCTGCTGCAGTAACACCGCATCATTTAACAAAGATGGCAATCCCTCTCTTCTTCCTCTTCAGACCACACAGGAAAAATTCTGCATTTGACGATGCACGACTTCAATTTTTTTTTTTTTAAGTGTTGGGGAGCCTCACGCTTGTCAGGCAAATGCTCTACCACTGAGCCACATCCCAGTCCTTTTTATTTAATGACAGGGTCTTGCTACGTTGCCCGGGCCAGCCTTCAACTTGGGATCCTCCTGCCTCAGTCTCCAAAGTAGGATTACAGGCGTGCACCTCTGCACCCACTTACTTTGTCTCTTCTAACAAGACTTTTTTTGGAGCACTCTACAACTGAGCTACATCCCCAGCCCTTTTTTATTTTTGAGACAAAGTCTTACTAAGATGCCCAGGCTGGCCTTGATCTTGCAATCTTCCTGCCTGTGGAGGCAGGAAGACATTCCTCTTTAATGGAGAGAGCAAAGCAGGAGCAGAATTAGGCTTAAAGCCTAAGCGGGAGATGACATCCAGATAAAATGGTGTGTCGCTGGAGGTGCATCCTTGTGCAATACACAACCTGCCAGTACA